GAGGGGCAACCACACATTGATATTTCTCTCTCTCTCTCCCTCCCTTCCCCTCTCTAAAAATAAATAAAATATGTTTTTAAAAGATACTGAGTTATTTTTCTTTTTTTATATTAAATTTTATTTAGTTACTTTTCAAGTACATTTTTTTAATCTATTTCTCCCATCCCACCCGCCCCCCGCCCAGTCTCCCCCCTCCCTCCCATTCCCCCCCCCAGTCCTCATCTCTGTGTCTTTCATACTTGTTCCTCAAAATCCCTCCCCCTTTTTCCCCTTAAGTTCCCTTCCCTCTCCCCTCTGGTCGCTGCCCACTTGTTCTCTATTTCAGCGTCTTTGTTTTTATTCTGTTTGCTTGTTTGTTTTATTCTTTAGCTTCCTGTCAAAGGTGAGATCATATGGTATTTGTCCTTCAATGCCTGGCCTATTTCACTCAGCATAATGCTTTCCAGTTCCATCCATGTTGTTGCAAAAGGTAGTAGCTCCTTCTTTCTCTCTGCTGCATAGAATTCCATTGTGTATATGTACCACAATTTTTTGATCCATTCGTTTACTGATGGGCACCTAGGTTGCTTCCAACTCTTGGCTATTGTAAATTGTGCTGCTATGAACATTGTGGTGCATAGGTTCTTTGAAATTGATGTTTTAGGATTCTTGGGGTATAATCCTAGCAGTGGAATTGCTGGGTCAAAAGGCAGGTCAATTTTTATTTTTCTGAGAAAATTCCATACTGTTTTCCATAATGGTTGTACCAGTCTGCAATCCCACCAACAGTGAACTAAGGACCCCTTTTCCCCACACCCTCTCCAACATTTGTTGTTTGTTGCTTTGTCTATTATAGCCATCCTGACTGGTGTAAAGTGGTATCTCATTGTGGTTTTAATTTGCATCTCTCTGATAGCTAACGATATTGAGCATCTCTTCATGTGTCTCTGGATATTCTGTATGTCCTCTTTAGAGAAGTGTCTGTTCAAGTCCTTTTCCCATTTTTTAATTGGGTTCGATGTCTTCCTAGAGTGGAGTCGTGTAAGTTCTTTGTATATTTTGGAGATTAAACCTTTGTCTGAGGTATCATTGGCAAATATGTTTTCCCATACAGTTGGTTGTCTTTTTAATTTAATACTGTTTTCTTTAGCCATGCAGAAGCTTTTTATTTTGATGAGATCCCATTTGTTTATTCTTTCCTTTACATTCCTTGCTCTAGGGGACATATCAGTAAAAATGTTGCTGCGTGGAATATCTGAGATTTTCTTGCCAATGTTCTCCTCTATGACTTTAATGGTGTCATGGCTTATATTTAAGTCTTTTATCCACCTTGAATTTATTTTGGTGTATGGTGTAAGTTGGTGCTCAAGTTTCATTTTTTTGCACGTAGCTGTCCAGTTCTCCCAACACCATTTGCTGAAGAGGCTATCTTTACTCCATTTTATGTTACTGCCCCCTTTGTCGAATAGTAATTGACTGTAGAGGTTTGGGTTGATTTCTGGGCTCTCTGTTCTGTTCCATTGGTCTATGTGCCTGTTTTTATGCCAGTACCAGGCTGTTTTGATTACAGTGGCTTTGTAATACAGTTTGATATCAGGTATTGTGATCCCTCCTACTTTGTTCTTCTTTCTCAAAAGAGCAGCTGCTATTCGGGCTCGTTTATGATTCCATATAAATTTTTGAAGTGTTTGTTCTATGTCTGTGAAATACGCCATTGGTACTTTAATAGGTATTGCATTGAATCTGTATATTGCTTTGGGTAGTATGGACATTTTGATGATGTTAATTCTTCCAATCCATGAACATGGTATATGTTTCCATTTGTTTGTGTCTTCCCTGATTTCTTTCTTCAGTGCTGTGTAGTTTTCTGCATACAGGTCTTTTACCTCTTTGGTTAGGTTTATTCCCAGATATTTTATTTTTCTTTTTGCTATATCGAATGAGATTTTTTCCTTGATTTCTGCTTCTGCTGATTCATTGTTTGTATACAAAAATGCCTTTGATTTCTGGATATTAACTTTGTATCCTGCTGTTTTGCCAAATTCTTTAATTAGTTGGAGCAGTTTTTGGGTAGAGTCTATAGGATTTTCCATGTACACTATCATGTCATCTGCAAACAGTGACAGTTTTGTTTCCTCCTTTCCTATTTGGATGCCTTTTATTTCCTTTTCCTGCCTGATTGCTGTGGCCAAAACTTCTAATACTATATTGAATAGAAGTGGTGAAAGTGGACATCCTTGTCTTGTTCCTGATCTTAGTGGAAAAGCTTTTAGTTTTTGCCCATTGAGTATGATATTGGCTGTAGGTCTCTCATAAATGGCCTTTATTATATTGAGGAATGTTCCCTCTATTCCCATTTTGCTGAGTGTTTTTATCATAAATGGGTGTTGTACCTTATCGAAAGCTTTTTCTGCGTCTATTGATATGATCATGTGGTTTTTGTCTTTGCTTTTGTTTATGTGATGAAATATGTTTTTAAAAGATACTGAGTTATTTTTCAAAGACAACAGAACAAAACTGCAAGTCATATAGGAGAGGAAAATATGCTGCCAATTATACTTGGAACAAAAGTCCACATCCCTGCCCCACACACACACACACACATGCACAGTACCAAAGGACAGGGACGTGACCAGGACCTCAATGCTGGAGCCCTTTCAGGCCCTTTCTGGATCTAGGAAGATTCAGTGCTGACCTCTTAAATCATGCCCCAAAGCCTGGATCAGGGAGATGGAATCCAAGATTGTCTCCTGCTCTTTGCCAGTCGACTTCACAATAAAGCTTTTTTTTTTTTTTTCTTTCTCAAAATCTGGTGTTATGGTATTGGCTTTCACGAGCATTGGGTTGCCAGCCCTTCCTTGGTGACAACCGGGTCTTCATTTCCACAAATACCCCTGCTCTTCTGAGCAATCACTTCCTCTCTGCTCACTCCTTCCTTCTAAATCTCTTTCTGTGGGCAGACTGGCTATCTAGGTGGACTGACGTTTTAGTAAAGGTACCAAAAATTACATCAGAGGTTATTTCTGCTCAGATTGTACGCACCACTTTGTAGTGCCCACCCTGAATGCACCTCTGATCATGGAGGCAGCGTTTACCCTTTTGTCCCTATCTCTGCCCTTACACCTGTGCTTCTCAAATGTTAATTTCCTCTTAATTGTCTGCCTGAACCCAGAGAGCCGCTTCCACAGGCATAATCTCTACGAGTTGCTACAACATCCTGTGATAAGGGTGTTCTCATTTGCCAGATGAGGAAACCGGGACACAGAGTGAGCCAGGCACTCCCCTGCAGTAACAGAACTAGCACTCAAACTCATAGCCTTCAACTCCAAAGGTTAGCAGACACTTTTCTCCTTGATCCTTGGCTACTCCCACTTAGTCGAAATGACACAACTTGTCTTTTCTTTCAGATTCTCATTTTGGTCCCCAAACTTCCCTTCTCTTCTGTAATTTTACCCCATTCTTCTCTGGTGTTTCTCAAACTCCAGCCATGCATGCTTCACCTTCATTTTCTTGTCTTTTTTTCAATTTTTTGCTATAACCAACTGTTACCTATAATCTTATTTACTCAATATTTTTCTTAACTTTGATTCCCTGGAAATTTAAATAAAAACAAAAATATTAATCATCCAAATGCAACTATACCACTACTATAATTTAAAAGTTAATTTTAATAGCTACAATGGAAAAAACAAAAAAATGAATACAATGAAAGCACACATTGTTATTTGTTTAAATCCCATTAGGATATGGTTGCCTGATGATTATTTGATACTAATCTTGGTCTTGTTTTGTTAAAAAGGGGAATTAAGCTTTTGTCAGTTCCTTTTTGCTATAACGATGTTGCATAACAGACAACCCCCTGGTCTCAATGACTTAGTCCAACACACATTTCATTCTTCCTACACATCTGCACATTGTCTGGGAGGCTCAGCGTCAGGCTGTGGGTTGGGTTATGTCCACTTCATGGGCCTTTTATTCTGGGACCAGCAGTTCTCTAGACCATGTTATTCTTGTGATGAATGGCAAAAGCACCAAAAAAACAAGGCAAACCACACAAGCATGGTTAAAACCTCTGTTTGCACCATTTTTATTAATGTTCTATTGGCCCAAGCAAGTTAACGGACCAAGCTCGGCTTCACAGAGTGAAGAACTATATTCGTGCCTTGAGTAGGGGTAGGGAGCAGGCAGGTGGGCAGAGTGCGAATATTTGCTGAGTAGGAAATATACTCTAGCCTTGACTACTCTAGTGTAGTTGAGTTGGTTTGTTGCTGTTCTGCAAAGCCAAAGGTCACTGGTTCAATTTCTGGGTCAGCACTCATGCGGGCTGTGGTGATCCCTGGTTAGGCAAACGATTGATGTTTCTCTTGCACATCTCTGTTTCTTTCCCTCTCTTTCTCTCTCCCTCCCTCCTCTTCTCTCTAAGAATAAGCAAATAAAAAAATTATAAAAAGAAATATACTCTACCATGCAGGAATAGAAGATGTAGAATTAGAAACTTTCTAATTGACTTAATTTAAAAGAAATGGAAAAGGATCAGCTTAATCTCATTGTAATTTATGCCCTAGTGGTAAGCTCACTCTGGTTCGGAACAAAATCAGGGTTCTTTTTTAGCAAGGAACAATGTGGTATGCAGAAGGTGCTGAGGAATAGCTGATGGGTAGGTGTATTTGTCTGTTAGGACTGTTACAACAACCAATCCATGTTTCTCTATCACATTGATGTCTATGTTTCTCTCTCTCTCTCTCTCTCTCTTCCCCTCCCTCTCCCTCTAAAACAAACATGTCCTTGGGTGAGGATTAAAAGAAAAGTTAATCATTCACTGAGTTCTTTACTCTCCAGAAAAAGTCAGGACTCTATCTTGTGATATAAAGACCACCACTTCTATCATTTCACAACTTGAATATGATGTTGAAATAATATTGCAAGTAAGTGAGGAGACTGCCCTTCTCCAGAGTAAGCTCCACCTTCTATCTGTGAATAGTAGCAGTAATTCTGGGACACCACATGCCATCAACATATACCCAAGTTAGTCTGGACCTCCTCTAGATTGTCCAGGGAGTGATGCAGATACTTGGCAAACATTACTTCTTGATTCTGAGGGTGTTTAAAGGCTTTTACTAGACAAGGACAGGGAAAATGACAGGTGATCCAGCTTTATCTCAGCCTAAAGAAGACAAAAGTTGATGATTTCATTGTAGTCATAGTAAGGCATTGTTTATTTAGCTGAACTATATTGACTGAATATTATGATTGCTTCATATAAGCCATAAGGAGAAGAGATGGAGTGGAGAGAGGAGAGGCAGAACTTTGAGTAGGTCACAGATTTCCCCTAAAGGTGTGGGTTTCTATCATCAATCATTCTTGAGCTTGTATGGAGATCCTGTTCAAGGGGTGAGATGAGGACCCATGGCCTTTTATTTCCTTCCTAAAATCCAATTTTCTACTCAATTTTGTTACTATCTATCTGTCCACTTGTGGGAATAATAATGTTTTCCCCTTCCTCCCTCTCTCTCATCCTTCCTGTCTTTATAACTTTTCTTTATCAGTTTCTACTTTCATTGATCTCTTTCTTTTCTTCTCCTTTCCTACTGCCCTCTTTCCTTTTTCCTTTTCTCTTTTTTCTCTCCTCTAATTATTTTTGTCTTTTCCCTCTACCTCCATCCAACTTCCTTTTCTCCTCTTTTTCTTTCTCAATTGCTGCTTTAATCTTTCTCTTTCTCATTTTTCTTTTCTTTGTCTCTATACCCCTCTCCTTTCCTCACCCCCATTCCTGCCCTCACTTTCCTCCTTCAACATCTAACATGGCAAGATTTTGAGCTAATAACCAGGGAGAAACAAAAATCAGATGTTGTCACAAAGAATCTCATATCTTCATAGGAAGGCAGATGACCCAAAGAGGAATAAGGGCAGAGCCAGAAGAAAAGCCTCCTGCAGGTCTCACTGGATTCTGGCTGGCCCAGACCTCTTCCATTCCTTATCTCAAAGCTTCTTCCACAGGATTTTCCCTGAGACAGCCCTCACCAATCCCAAGACAAACTCCATCAGTTGGGATGAATCAGTCCAGGGTTGGCCATCCATGACCTCAATAGGGTTGAGGAATTGCTGCAGGGTGAGGGGAAGCTCTTGAGGCTGGTGCCCTCATGTAACTGACCACTGAGCCTGGGAAACTCCCCAGCAGCCCCCTGTGCAATAAGAAGGTTCAGAAAGTGCTCTGGGACAAGAAAAAAAAAGAAAATAACCAGAATAAGACATATAAGTCAGTCAACTGGTCTCCGACACACTCCAAGACAGAGAAGCAGTGCAGTGAACTGACATGACACAGTAGTAAGACACCTGAGCTTTCACCTCAGACTCTGAGCTCAGGTCTCTTCTCTACCATTTACCTGGCTTTGAACAGGTCACCGGGCTTTTCTGAGACTCAATTTTCCCACTGAGTAAACTGGAAAATAACAGAAACTTTATTGAGGTGTTGTGAGGATAGAATGAGATTACACAGGCTGAGTTAACAGCATCGGAAAACACTCCAAAAAATCATCCATGATTATGAATCTGGACTATGAATCTGGTTATGAATCTGGACTAGACACAGTAGACATTTAAGAGTTAAGAAACCTAGTTTTGGATTTCATCTCCATTATTTCCTGTTGGTGTGTCCTTGGCAGAACTAAAAAACCTCTCCAATTTCACTTTTCTCACCTGTGGGAAGAATGTTTGGTATTGAGGACACTTCCATCTCTAGTATTCCTGAATCCTAAAATATAGTTGATGAAGAGAATTCTTCTGGTTATATGGTTCAGTTTGCCAGAACATTAGTCTAGAAGTTAGGTGGTTTGGGATTTAAGAAAAGTAATAACAATAGAGATATTGATAGGGAAAAAGTATCTCAGCAGCTGACTTGCCATAAGGCAAGACTAACTTTGTTAAGGAAAGAGTTTGTTAAAATCACTGTGGAATACAGCAGGGAGGATGGCAAACTATAGCTTGTGAGCAAAATATGGCCCTTCTCCTGTTTTTGTAAATAAAGTTTTATTGAAACAACAGCCAAACCTGTTCATTTACAATCGTCATTGGCTGCTTTTTCACTACAAGGGCAGAGTTGAGTAGTTACCACAAAGGCAGTATGACCTAAAATTTTTACTATTTGGCCCCAGGATATAGGTGGAGAGTAGAAGAAAACCACAGAGGAGATCCAGGTTTAATGCCAAGAAGAGAGAGACCCTGCATATCCCGAAGAAGGGAGCAGAAAGGTATGGTCCCTGGGAGAAGAGAGGGATGAGAGAACCTGTTGCCCAGGAAGTTCTACAGGGGAAACTTGTAATAATTATTATATCTATTGATGATCTATTGAGTAATAATACACTGTTATACTGTGTGATAGGACCTCTCCACGGATCCTCAGAAATATTCAGTTAAAATTCAAACTTCAGGGGACTTCCGCCAAGATGAAGGCGTAGGTGGAAGCACTGTACTTTCTCGCACAACCAAGTTTAAAAATGTTGAGGTCCAAAACAGATGTTGAAAAGGGACAATCCCGAACAAGTCCCAGATAAAGTTAGGCTGACCAGGAACTAAAGTTAGGCTGACCAGGAACAGGGAAATTTTTACTTCCTAAAAGGGCTAACTGCCGACTACACAAATAGCCTTTTGAATTTCCCTAATAAACCAATGGCAATCAGCTGTTTAGAGCTAGCCAATAGCTAACAGCCACATCTGCTTCTGTTCAAAGCTTGCTTGCATACCCCTATATAAGGACATAGCTGTAAGCGCAGGGGCGCGGCTCTCATCTGCAGCTCTCCTGAGCATAGTGTCCTCGGACACTCAGAGAGCTCGCCCCTGCGCAGGTAAAACTTGGCCAATAAAGTAACATCTTGAAAATTCTGAAAGTCTCCGAACCTCTGTTTCTCCTGATGGCGGATGCAACATTTTGGAGGCCCCAGCGAGATTTCCCTTGGGGAGTTTCAGGTCGGAGATGAGTAGGACGGCTGGAGCTGAGTAAGTAAATGCGAGGATCCTCTTTTGGTTTCTGAGCTCCGGAGCAAGGCAGCCTGAGGTGGTAGGCGGACACGCCAGTAGTCCATGCAGGAATCCCAGGGTTGGGACGCCGCCCTCGGGGTCTGGTTTCAGTTCAGTTCGGAGAAAGTGTGACCGGTCACGTCAGGTTTTGTTTCCCTCCACACTGCGCTGCACCACGAACCAGAGTTAGGCTTTATGTCGAGAGACTGTGTATTGTATATGTTGTTGTTTGTCTTTGTGTCTACCCTTGTTGTTACCATTCTCGTTTCCAAGCTCCCTGAGGTTTTTCGGCGTGCACAAATGGGTCAGCGAGAATCCGTGCCTGGCTCTCCGCTAGATTGCTTGCTGAACAACTTCTCGGACTTTCAGAGACGAGCGAGGGGATATGGTGGGCCACTGCCAGACCCCGAGTTCCTCCGGACCCTGAGCGAACTTGAATGGCCGACCTTTGATGTCGGTTGGCCGGCCGAGGGCACTTTTTGATTTGCCCGTCCTCTTCGCTGTTCGAGCCACCGTCTACCGAGTCCCCCACCCTGATCAATTTGTGTATATTGATGTCTGGGTAGATATCGCCACGGAGCACCCAGGTTATATTAGACAATGTATACAGGGAAATCGGAGGGGGAGGAGAGCCATCTGCCTGGCTGCAGGAAACGGCCAGGAACCGAGGGCCTTGTCAAGATCCGGCCACAAAACAACCCCCGGCCAGACCTCGACTTTACCCAGTCCTGCCTGGGCAGCCCGATGAATGCACCTCTGCCATATCATCGCAGGGAGAAGCCAGACTCGACGAGGCAGGACAGTAGTGGGCCCAACAGTCCCCCGCACACACGAGGGGGAGCACAATACGGCGGAGGAGGAGGAACGGCGCCGGCGGGAACGGCCGCCATTTTACCTCCGCAGGAAGGTGCCGCCATTTTGCCCCTCTGGGTGTGCAACCAGGGCCCGATGCGCCGCCCTGGGCACCACCCCGGTTGATATATGTTCCTTTTTCTACTAGTGATCTTTATAATTGGAAACATCAGAATCCACCCTTCTCTGAAAAAAACCCAGGGTTTAATCTCCCTCCTCGAGACCATCTTTCGGACCCATCAACCCACCTGGGATGATTGTCAACAGATTTTGCAGACCCTTTACACACCAGAAGAAAGGGAGAGAATTAATCGAGAGGCGGCAAAAGCCGTAATGGGGGAGGAGGGAGACACGGCTGCAGGGAGAAGAGAAATGGAAGACATCCTTCCCTCACAACCCCCAGCCTGGGACCCCAACACTGCAGAGGGAAGGGATGCGCTACTCCAGTATCGCCAGGCTCTACTTAGAGGGCTGAAGGCAGCGGCGAGGAAGCCAACTAATTTTAGTAAAGTTAGTGAGGTCATTCAGGGAAGGGAAGAATCCCCAGCGGCTTTCCCCGAGAGGCTAATGGAGGCCTATAGGATATATACCCCTTTAGACCCTGAAGCAGAGGAAAATAGGAGACTTGTTAACATCGCCTTTGTGACTCAGGCAGCTTCAGACATTAGGAAGAAACTTCAGAAGATAGAAGGATTTGAGGGAGAGAATAGGAGTAAGTTATTAGAAATAGCACAGAAAGTATACATAAACAGGGAGGATCCAGAGGTAGGTAGAGCTAAAGAGGTTGCTAGGATCCTGCTTGCTGCACAGAAGACCCCCGAGAACAAGAACAGAGGAGGACAGCCAAGGGGCCATAACAGGGGGGCACAAATAGGCAAAGACCAATGTGCCTACTGCAAGGAGAGAGACACTGGAAGAGGGACTGTCCAAAGAAGAGAGCGGACGGCTATAAGCAGGGACAGACTCCTGAGGTCCTGCTCCAAACCTTAGACTGACGGGGCCAGGGCTCCATTTCCATTGGCTCCCAGGAGCCCATGGTCACCCTAATGGTCGAAGGTAAGCCAATAGACTTCCTGGTCAACACGGGAGCCACCTTCTCGGTCCTCAAACAACCCCAAGGACAAATTCAAAAGACAACTACCAAAACAGTTGGGGCAATGGGCAAAGTGGAGGCCTACCCATGGGCTACAGCAAGGGTAACTAACTTAGGCCGAGGCACCATTACCCACTCCTTCCTTGTCATTCCTGACTGCCCCTACCCATTGCTAGGAAGAGATTTATTACAGAAGCTCCAGGCCACCATCACCTTCAGACATGAAGAAAGCCCCTCAAAGAGCGAGGAGGAGGAGAAGGAGGTCAGCCTGGAAATAACTGTCCCACTGTCTGAAGAATACCTACTTGCCACCGTGCAAGGAGGTCAGGAGGAAAAGGTGGGGGTTTCGGATGCCTTAATTGCCAGAGTACCTGGAGTCTGGGCAGAAACTAATCAACCAGGATTGGCCGCCCACCAACCACCAGTCCTGGTGCAATTACTGAGCACCGCCAGCCCAGTCAGGATCAGGCAGTATCCAGTCCCGTCTCGCGCTAGACAAGATATTGCGCTACACCTGCGCTGCCTGCTGGAGGCGGGCATACTCCGGGAGTGTCAATCGGCCTGGATACCCCATTGCTCCCTGTCCAGAAACCAGGGACCCAGGACTACCGCCCCGTGCAGGACTTGCGAGAAGTAAATGCGCGGGTAGAGACAATCCACCCTACAGTGCCTAACCCGTATACCCTGCTTAGCTCTCTGCCCCCAACCCATACCTATTACTCAGTTTTGGACTTAAAGGATGCCTTTTTCTGCATTCCACTGGCACCCCAAAGTCAAGAGATCTTTGCTTTCGAGTGGAACGATCCAGAGAATGGATTGGTGGGGGAGTTCACATGGACGAGGTTACCACAAGGGTTCAAGAACTCCCCCACCATCTTCAATGAGGCACTAAGCAAAGACTTGCAGGCTTTTCACTTGGCCCATCCATCTATAGTCTTGTTGCAATATGTGGACGACCTCCTCATAGCTGCTGAAGGCAACGAGGCAGCGACGCTAGACTTGCTACAAGACCTTGAGCGGATGGGATACCGAGTTTCTGCCAGGAAAGCCCAAATCGTGATTTGGGGTATAACCTGCAAGGGGGGCAGAGAACCCTATCCTCTCAGTGAATCCAGGCAGTCCTGCAGATCCCTGAGCCCACTACCAAGAGGCAAGTGCGGGAATTCCTGGGCACAGTAGGATACTGCAGGTTATGGATTCTAGGCTTTGCAGAGCTGGCCAGACCACTACGTGAACTGACTAGAGGGAAGGAGGAACAGTTTATATGGACGGACAAGGAGAAACAGGCACTCTAAGCCCTCAAGGAGGCACTGGTAGCTGCCCCTGCTCTAGCCCTGCCAGACATGGCCAAGCCTTTCCAGTTATTCGTAGCTGAGAAGAGGGGAGTTGCCTTAGGAGTACTCAGTCAAGAGCTGGGACCATGGAAGAGGCCAGTGGCCTACCTGTCCAAGAAGCTTGACCCTGTAGCCTCAGGATGGCCAACGTGTCTACGGGCCCTTGCAGCCACCTCCATTCTGGTCAAGAAGGCCAGTAAGTTGACTTTAGGTCAAGATATATAAGTGATTGGTGAACATTACATAGAACAAGTGCTCCGAACACCCCCTGATAGATGGCTATCCAATGCCCGATTGACTCAATATCAGGCGCAACTGCTCAACCCACCATCTGTGCAGTTCCTCAAGACAACGGCCTTAAACCCAGCCACCCTACTGCCAGTACCCAATTCTACCTTGGTCCACAGCTGCAAACAGATATTGGACACAGTGGTTGGCTCTCACCCAGATCTAAGAGACCAGGCATATGAAAGGGCTGACCTGACCCTGTATACGGACAGCAGCAGTTTTATTAAGGATGGACAGTGGTGTGCAGGGGCCGCAGTGACCACAGAAGATAAGGTCCTGTGGCAAAAAGGATTACCAGCCAGAACCTCTGCACAAAGGGCCCCAAAGTTGCCATCATACATTGTAAAGGACACCAGAAAGGGAATTCCCCTATTATAAAAGGCAACAATCTAGCAGACTCAGCTGCTAGGGAGGCGGCTACCCAGGGACAGGGAAGCCTCCTCCCCTTACTACCTCAACCAGCACTACCTCCGGATCCTAGGTACACCCCAGAGGAATGGCAAGAAGGGATGAAGCTTAAGGGGCAGAAAAATCAGCAGGGGTGGATAGAACTTCCTGGTACTAGGCTTTATCTACCTCAGGGGATAGTCAGAGAAATAGTCCAAGATTTGCATACCAGCACTCACCTTGGGCAAAACAAGTTAGAACAACTTATTAAGAAATATTATGTAGGTCCCAACATCAGAGACATTATCCATTCCGTAGTCTCTAGGTGCGGCATTTGTGCAAGAGTGAACGCACAGAACAAAAGGCTACCTCACCCCATGAGATAGAGGAAAAACACCAGGAGAGCTATGGGAAATAGACTTTACTGAAATGACCTCGGGGAAAATCAGGATATAAGTATCTCTTAGTACTTACATAGACACTTTCTCAGTCTTGGCAGAAGCTTTCCCAACTAAAGGGGAGACGGCCTCCATAGTTTGCAAAATCATAGTAAGGGAAATAGTGCCAAGATACAGTATCCCAGTAGCCCTGGGATCAGACAATGGCCCAGCATTCATATCAAAGGTCTCACAAGAGTTAGCCACTAGGTTAGGAATTTCATGGAAGCTGCACTGCATATATAGGCCCCAGAGCTCAGGCCAGGTAGAAAGAATGAATAGGACTCTCAAAGAAACTTTAATAAAATTAAGATTGGAGACCAGCGAGAACTGGGCAGAGCTACTCCCCTTCGCCCTGTTTAGAGTAAGATGTACCCCACACCTGGATAAGTGGACACCTTATGAAATCATGTTTCAAGCATTTGGCCAGCCTGAGAATTACCTCTCATCTTGCTAGAGAGGAGATAGAAGTGTCTAACCATAACTTCCTCAAGTCCCTGCAGGCGCTGCAACAAATTCGGGCCGAGGTGAGAAGACTGCGAAGCCAATCAGCACCAACCCCAGCGGCCGGCACGCAGAAACCTGAGCCACCTGATCCTGGACAGTGGGTGTGGATTCTTAACCACAGGCGGGACAACTTAGAGCCGTGGTGGATTGGACCCTTTCAGGTACTGTTAAGCACCCTCACTGCTGTTCGTGTGGCTGAGAAACCATACTGGATACACCTTTCTCATATAAAGCCAGCAGAAGACCCAGGTGAGACATCCAGAGAATGGCGTGCCGAGAGGAACCCAGACAAACCCTTAAAGCTCACTCTCTCACGTGTTTAGGACTACTGTTCCTCAGTTGGGTGTCAGGTAAAGAACAGCTGACGGAACAGTAGTTGCTACTAACTACACGTGGGCAGAGGCAGAAGGTAAACCCGTCACTCTAAAGACTGATCTGTCTAAACTGTTTGGTGATTCTATCTGTGACTCTACCCTAGGCTATAGGGGCAGTGAAGGACATAAGGGACCACTCGGAGGAGAAACTGTGATGGCCTTAGGAAAAGGCCCTGCTTGTGATGCATCTCAGAAGAACAAGAACTTATACTACTCAGGAGCATATGGGTGTCCAGAACCACCCAGCAAATGGACAAGGGACTGCGGAGGGGCTAGTGACTATTATTGTAAAAGCTGGGGTTGTGAAACGATAGTCTCAAGGGGACATTTGACCCCAGGGGGAGGAATTGAAAGACCTCCCCTTGGCTGACAATGCTAATATCCACTATAGCAAGTCCCCTCTTACTGTTTAAAGAAAGCTAATGGTTTTGTCCCAACCTTATACAATCCTACCCATAGACGAGGAATCAAGGGTTTGATCCACGACCAAAAGAAGTGGGGAAATGTTGAGGTCCAAAACAGATGTTGAAAAGGGACAATCCCGAACGAGCCCCGGATAAAGTTAGGCTGACCAGGAACAGGGAAATTTTTACTTCCTAAAAGGGCTAACTGCCAACTACACAAATAGCCTTTTGAATTTCCCTA